TAAAATTTACTATCTTAACCATTTTTAAGTATACAGTTCAGTGGCACTGATTTTATTTATTTATTTATTTATTTATGAGACAGGGTCTTGCTCTGTCGCTCTGGAGCACGGTGGCAGGATCATAGCTCACTGCAGCCTCGAACTCCTGGGCTCAAGTGTTTGTCTCACCTCAGCCTCCCAAAGTGCTGGAATTACAACCATGAGCTACTGTGCCTGGCCTAAACAGAGTGCTTTATACACAACAGACCAACACATTTGTTTGGATGAGTGGTCACACTTCAGTGCCTTCAGACCCCACTCTTCATGGCAATTGACTATTGTCCACAGCCTCTGTCAGAGAATCTCAAGATTGGAAGGTACTTAAAAGTAACGTGGACCAACCATCCCTTAATGCTTGAATCTTCCTCACAACCCTGCACCAAGCACTTGTCCAGCCCATGTTCCAATACCTCCGCTGCAGAGTCATTTCCCCTTTGACTACCAAAATCTGTATTCCTGTAACCTCTCCCCAGCCCCATTCTAATCTCTGGAGAACACAGAACAACTCCATCCCTCCCTCCACAGAACAGCACTTCTAAATAGCTGAAGACGGCTCTCAAGTCTCCGGAGGGGTCTCTTTGCCAAGCTGGACATATCCCCACCTCCCGTGATGGGGTTTCAAGTACCTTTACCATCTTGCCTGTTGCCCTTGCTCTCACTAGGAAACACATGACAATAATGGCCAGATTGGGCAGAACATGGTTTTCTCTTACAAACTCTTTTTTTTTTTTTTTTTTGAGACAGAGTCTCACTGTGTTGCCCAGGCTGGAGTGCCGTGGCATTAGCCTAGCTCACAGCAACCTCAGACTCCTGGGCTCACACGATCCTCCTGCCTCAGCCTCCCAAGTAGCTGGGACTACAGGCATGTGCCACCATGCCCGGCTAATTTTTTCTATATATTTTTAGTTGTCTGATTAATTTCTTTCTATTTCTAGTAGAGACGGGGTCTCGCTCTTGCTCAGGCTGGTTTCGAACTCCTGAGCTCAAAATCCGCCCGCCTCGGCCTCCCAGAGAGCCAGGACTACAGGCGTGAGCCACCGCGGCCGGCCTCTTACAAACTCTTGACCCTAAATGAAAACTCGGTCGTAGACTTTATATAAGCAAAAAGCAAAAAAATGACACATCATGTTTGAAAATAGACTGCTGGTTGCCTCCCCGCTCTAAACATCCTGCCGCCCACTCTGCTCACAACACATCCCGGTGCAGCCAGGAAGCAGCGGCATGCATGAAAATGTCACTGTGAAAAAGAGGCAGTGCTACTGCTAGAAGTCTGTATTTTCAGAAATTTTCTACAAGCTCGCTGAAATTAAGGATTGGGCCATCTCCAGCCATTCATCCCGCCTGTTGGGTATGGTTCAGCTTCCCAGCACAACATAGACTACGGTGGTCTGGGCCAGCTCTCACCAGAGCAATGAGGAGGGAAGCCCGTGGGCCTGTCCTGCCCCCGCTGTACTGTCTCCCATGTCCCAAATCCCTCTTTCCTTCCCTTCCAAGAACCCAGCTACGCTACCTGTGCACAGTTTGCCTCTGCACATCTCTGAAACTCCCTGATCAGGGATCCCCAAGAGGGCAGGGACTACATTTATCTTTTTACTCAGCCTTCCCCCATCAAAATTTTCTGTTTAGGAAACATTTCATCCAGTTGTTTATATTTTCATATGCATTCTTGTCAGTGCATTATTTTCCCAGGGATATTTGCATTTTAGGTCTTATTTCTAATTATGGTCTCCAATTAAGGGGATTCTAAACATCAGCCAACAGGTGACACTGGCAGATTGTACAGTGGGAAGAACCTTCCACCTTGGGCCTCGGTTTCCTCATCTGTAAACTGAGGGGGCTGGTTTGATCCCCAGCTCTGGAATCCACAGGTCAATGATTTATTTGATGTTAGTAAATAAACCTAGTGGCCCTCAATGTACGTCCCCATCGCAGCACTGTCACATTGTGTTAGGGTTCTCTAGAGAAACAGAACCAATGGGACATGTGTGTGTGTGTGTTATACACGTAAAGAGATTTACTATAAAGAACTGGCTCATGCAATCGTGAAGGCTGACAACCGCAAGATCTGCAGCGTGAGCTGGCAAGCTAGAGACCCAGGAAAGCTTATGGTGGGTTCCAGTCCAAAGGCCAGCAGCTCGAGACCCAGAAAGAGCCAATGTTTCAGTTCGAGTCCAAAGGCGGGAAAAAGTCGACGTCCCAGTTTAAAGGCAGTCAGGCAGGAAGAATTCTCTCTTAAAAGAAGGATCAGTCTTTTTGTTCTCTTCAGGCCTTTGCAGATTAGATGAGGGCACATTATGGAGGACAATCTGTTTTAATCAGTCTATCATTTTATTTATTTAATGTGTTTTCTTCAACTTTATCAATCCATTGAAGTGCTTATGTCTTTTGAAAGATTAGTCAAAAACACTCTGAACCTGTTTAATAGAAGGAAATCATTTCTATCCCTATTTTAAAAACATCCTTTAGTGGTTGTTTCTCCCCACTCGCCTCAACTGTGCACTTCTGTGTACTCTTCACACTTGTCAAACTGCCTTGTACTATTAGAAATAACTTTTCACTTGAGTATGTCTCATTTTCCTATGGAGAGAACTGAGAACTCAGAGAGGAAGGACTGCATTTTACACATCTTCATATGCCCCCACAGTTGTAGATACCACGGTGCCTTATACCTACCAGGTATTCAGTAAACAGTAGTGCTTGATTGGTTGGTTGGTGTGTATCAGAAGGTGATGAGATGGGTCAAAATTCTCCACTTAAAAAAAAAACTAATCTTTTTATTTTGGAAGGGTATTAGATGTACATAAAAGCTGCAAAGATAATGCAGAGGCTCCCTATACACCCCTCTCCTCCACCTTTTAAAATTGGGAATGGTAGAAAAATAGCCGCGAACCAGTGTACCTTTGGGCGAGTCACATGATCTTAGCAGACCTGTTTTGTCACTGAAAGAAAGGTAAGTGTCTGCACTGCTCTCTTAGCTCGAGCTGCCAAAACAAGATACCGTAGACTGGGTGGATCATAAACATCAGAAATTTATTTCTTACAGTTCTGGAGGCTGGGAAGTCCACGATCAAGGCTCTGGCAGATTTGGTGTCTGATGAGAGCCCACTTCCTGGCCCAGAGGCTGTCTTCTCACTGTGTTCTCACATGACAGGAGGAGCAAGGGAACTCCCGGAGTCCTTTTATACGGCACTAATCCCATTGAGGAGGGCTCCACTCTCATGACGTAATCACCTCCCAAAGGCCCCACCTCCGAATGCCATCACACTGGGTGTGAGTTTCAACACAGCGTGGGGTGGACACAGTCTATAGCAGCCACCTCCATGCTATTCACACAGCACTTGGAATAAGATCACTGAGAAGGCCAGCCTGTGCAGTGTCCCCTGGGTCTAGATCCTCTCCAGGATCCAGGTCCCTCGGTGGCCAGGCAGCTGCTCCCAGTCTGCCTCCTCACAGCCCCACCTGAGCTGCCAGTGAGTGTCTTTCCTTTGCCTACGGCCCCAGCATACAGGAAGGTAAGAGACAGATATTTCATGAAAGGGAGAACACATTAATTACGGACTTTAAAATGCTAAATAGTCTATTGGGGAGAGGGGACACAGAACTGTGGAGTCATGGAATTCTACAGCTGCATCTGCAGAGATGACCTATTAACACCCTCGTCTGTACACACAGTAGAGTAAACTGTTGAAGGTCAGATGCTAGTAAGGGACAGACTGGGGCCAAGTGCTTCTGTTGCCAGGGTATACCAAGCTGCTTCCTAGTATGCGTGGAGATCTGGTGACAGTGTTGGATGTCAGAAAGTCCCAGCTCTAAACAGCCCTTCCACCAATGGTGACAAAACTGCCAGGCTACTGTAATCAAATCTGACCCCGGAAACCAAGGGCTTTTTCCCCAGCAGCACGAGAAGTAACCTGAGATCCAAGCTACCTGGGGGTTACTCTCCATCTCACTGTATCTGGTTCTGCAGGGAGGGACTCCCCAAGCCAGAAAGGAAGACACATGAATACATGAAGGATAGGATAGGGTACTGTCCACCTAAGCCCACCCCAGCCCCACTCTCTCTAATTTCTGCCATCAAACCATAAGTCAGAATGGGAGATGGGCAGGATCCAGCATGATGAGGACAGACAGGGCTGTCTGGGGAGCCAGCTCCCTCCTCCTCTCCCCACAAGAAATATTTTTCCCTCCTCTAAACTCTGCTAGTGTCTGTGGTTCATGTTCTGCATTTTCTCCTTATATCTTGCCTGATACATCTATGCACATTGGTTCATACGTGCTTTTTCCTTTCCATGTAAATCAGATGGTCCTTACGGGCAAGGGCTAGACTGCACTTGTCTGAGACCTCACGTGGAGAGGACTCTAAATGTTTTTGAAGCTACTTGCAGCTTCCAGCCTCCTTTCCAGAGTCTCCCTTCTTCCTGCTTCTCTCCCCGCTTTCTGTACTTCTTGGTGTTTCTGTGAGGAATGTGATTTAAATTTGAGAAAATGGCCAAGCGCGGTGGTTCACACCTGTAATCCTAGCACTCTGGGAGGCCGAAGTGGGAGGATAGTTTGAGCTCAGGAGTTTGAGACTAGCCTGAGCAAGAGTGAGGCCCTATCTCTACTAAAAAAACAGAAAGAAATTAGCTGGACAACTAAAAATATATAGAAAAAATTAGCTGGGCATGGTGGCGCATACCTGTAGTCCTAGCTACTCGGGAGGCTGAGGCAGGAGGATCACTTGAGCACAGGAGTTTGAGGTTGCTGTGAGCTAGGCTGACACCATGGCACTCTAGCCCAGACAACAGAATGAGACTATGTCTCAGAAAAAAAAAAAAAAAAAGAGTGCGGGTCTATGGCTCCATCTGCTGGTGGCACTGGGAACTGAAGCTGCCAATAGCCAAAGGCCCCCATCAACTGGGAGTTGAGAATGATTTTAGAGAGATCTGGTTCTTCACCCCAGAAAAGACAACACCTGCCAATTAAACATATAAGAATCTTTTAATTTCATCACCATAAACATTATACTCTGATTGCTCACATACAGTATAAAATATTTACTCCGCTAAATAAATAAGACGACATTATTGCAAACGGCACTTAAACCCCCCAGAGATAAGACCTCCTTAGCTCAGGCAGGGGGTGCTCCTGAGTTTCTGTGTGAGATTCCCCAAGCACAGATATACCCTGGGGGCTGAGATGGACAAAGGTTTGAGGAACCACACTTTGTGCTTCTGGTCCTGCAATAGCCCCAGAGGGTTGTGGAGCCAGTGGGGAAAGGCAGGGGGCTCGGTCGAAGGGCCGTGCCTTCATCAGCCCAGTCCTAGAGGAGTAGGGGGAGTGAGGAGTGGGAGGTTAGCGAAGCTGGTGAGACCTGCAGCCCCACCCTCCACCTTCCCTCAACACCCTTAACCTTGGGTAATAGCATTTGGGATATCAGGTGGGATGAGTAGAATTTCCAAGGTCCTGGGTTAGGCATTTTTGGGGGCCAGACCCCAGGAGAAGGGGACTCTGGCAATGCTCGGCCCAATGACCAGCTATGTCAGAAGACCTGGTTGTTGGAGATCCCGCCCTACCCAACTCCTAGACACCAACATAGAAAACTAGCAATGGTTCCCTTCTACTTTGTTAAATAAATAAGTTAAACATTTAAATGCCTGCATCCCTATGATGGCAACACAGGGACCAACAAGCCAAGTCCTGATACAAGGTGGGGGCGGGGGAATCCGCACATAGGCAGTGCTGTGGACAAAGGGGGCTCAGTCCCTGAGGACTCTTCCCCCGCCAAGTAACTTTCATACTTTCAAATCCTGTGGAGGAGAGCTTCGTACTAGAAACTCCCATGCAAGAGCTACACTGGGGAAACCTGCAAGATCGGGGGCTTGGAGGTGGCCAAGTTTATTCAGCTCCCAGAATTTCTTCTCTGGATATGTCTGAACCAAGATCCTGGCATCAACCTGGATACTCGCTGTTGACCCTGAACCTAAGTAATCCACTTGCAGAGTCCCACATTCCAGTGCACGGAGCTAATCAAATGCCCTGCCCTTCTGGCCTCCCTGTAGAGGTCCAGACTGAAACCCATTTGGAAAGCTGCCAGTCTGCCAGCCCTAGAGACCGGCTAGAGGGAAACCCCTGTCCCCCAGCTGTGCAGCTACGCACCTTGCCGCCACAGGGTGGCAGCAGAGAGCCGCACCACTTTGGCAGCAACACACACTGGAGGGAGCCCCGCAGCCCTACCGGACGGAGAGCGGGGACCCAGGGAGGCAGGCCCTCCCCTCAGTGTGTCTACACCGAGTATTTGGCCAAGTCGCTCTTGTCGAACACTACCTGTGTAGCAAAGTAAATGGCGACCAGACCCAGGCCTGCAGCAGACACCATGTAGGCAGTGACGGATTGGCTGAGCTGGACGATGGAGCCCATGAACAGGGACGGGGCCACCTGGGACAGCAGGAAGGCACTGTCCAGGATGGCGAGGTCCAGGCAGATGCCCCGGCCAGGAACGACCCTGGCCTCAGTCGGCTCACCCACCACCACACGCATGGAGACATCGCAGGCGGAGGCCCCGCAGAGAGCAGGTGGAGATGGGAGCAGGCCGCTGCCTCCAGCACCCATGTGTCCGTTGGGGAAGGGAGCTCCAGTCTTAGGGCCTGGCAGGAAGCTGGCTGTCAGGCTGTCCTCACTGCCACCACCTCCAGAGTCCCCTCGGTATTTAGGCAGGAATACCTGCAGGGGAGGGGTGAAGAAAAGGGGAGGAGGACAGGTGTGTACCCAGGCACAGGGATCCCCCAGCTATGAGAACGGACCCTCGCCTTCATCCCAGGGGCTGGAAGAAACCAGTCACTGGGCCTTAATGAAATTCAGGCAGCAGGTAAGAAAACTGAGCAGACGGAGAAGGGTAAGCGGCCGGAGAGGGGACAAACGTGAAGCTAGAAGTCTAGGTCTCCTCTAGCCTCTCTTACAAGCAAGCAGCAGCCAGCTCAGCCCTGCAGGTTAGGAAGAGAACAGAGCCCCGAGGTAAAGGAAAAGACACAGAAGAATGAAGACAGGTGGGAAGAGAGATGTCCAAGAATAGAGGAAGGAAATCCAAAGGTGAGGCCCCTGCTGGCCCAACCCCACCCAGGCTCTCCTAACCCTCTTCCTGCCTGCCTGCCCCCCGCTTCACCATCTGGAAGTCCTCATCGCCTGGCCTTCGCAGAGAGCAGCTCTTCCCGCCGGGGGTCCCATGCCCCACCTGGAGCTGCTGCCCTGCTGTGAGGTCCCTGGCCCCAGCCTCTAGGCAGGGAGGATCCGCAGGCTCCATGTAGGAGGAATGGCCCTGTTCCCACCTCCCTGAGCCCCAGCTGTGCTAACGTCCAAGTCCAAGCCCTTCTCATTTCTGTCTCACTAGCTGTCTGCCACAGATCAGAGTGACTGCGTCTGGTCAACCCTCCCCAGTCCTGCCCTGCCCCACTGGCCCAGAGCCTCTTATTTAAGGACAAGGCCAGGTCCCATCTGACACTGTCCCTCACACCAGGCAGTGTGTAACAGAGGAGAGTTCTTGAGTTGGCTGCAATCGCAAGCTGGGAGCCACAGCAGAGCTCGAACCTGACACCAGGGAAGCCCACGGCTCATCCTGCAGCTCAACAAGTGGGCAAAGGAGAAGGCGGGCGGCGTACGGGGCCCCATCGCCATCAGTTGTTGCTAGGAACGGGCCTCTCAGATGCTCCCCTCCCTGCCTGCCACCCCAGGAAAGACCAGTGAGGCTGGAGCCTGAAGAGGTCCCTGAGGACAGACACGCTTCTCAGTACAGAACACGCTCCCTGGCACAACTGCATGTGCTCAAGCCCGGCCTCTAACACCAGTCCCCATTCTCCCAGCCCAGGGCAGCAGAAAATTAGCGGCTGATGAAGGTTATCAGTGAGCCAACACGGCTCTCAGGAACCAGGCTCCCCCAGCCAAAACCTTAGGCCCTCCTTCTCGACACCTCCCACCCCTGCAGACACCTGTGCAGCTAACCGACCACGGACTTACCTACTACCCCACTCATGTGCTACAGGGGCGGGAGCAAGTCTCCCCTACAGCCTGGAAGCTCCATGAGGGCAGGCCTCATCTCCTTCTGCCTTGGGACACCCCAGCTTCATGCCCCTTAGGGCAGAGTTCTGCACCCAAGGCTGCAGTGAGGCCAGGGGAGGGGGATAAGGGTGACCACAGTGCCTGGGTCAGGCGGCTTCCCACAGAAGGGAGCCCTTGGAGGGGCTGGCTAGTGTGGGCAGAGCAGGAAGGAGGCCCCCCAACTTACACAGTGCCCAGGTGAGCCGTGTCAGGTACCAGGTGTCAGTGTCAGACATCTGCCGTGGGGGCAGGGGGAAGGGGACGGAAGCAAAGGAGGGATGCAGGAAAAGAAAAAAGAATTAGACAGAAAAGGAAGATAAACCAGAAAGAGAGGGGGCAGGAAGGAGACTTCCCCCTCTCTGAGACCAAGGCAGGGCACAAGGTAGTCACACTGCCTCTCCCCAGAAAAGGAGGGGTGTTCTAAGCCCAGACTGTTCCCACTCGCCATCCGAAGCTAGATGCCCCACAGGTCATCTGATCCAGCCCCCTGCCTCTCTGTAGAACAACCAGCCCAGACTGAGGGCTTCAGTGAGGTGGCTCTTCCAGATCCTCACCGAAGGATTTTGCATTTCCTGCAATCATCCACTCAAGTGCTTCATGGTCCCGACCCCAGGAAGTCATTCCAAGAATCTAATCTACACTATTCTTCCGCAGCCCAAATCTCTGGTCCTGGGGCTAGGATGGGCTTCCTCTCCGATCAAAGAAAACCTCCAGTGCCTCTGGCCAGACATCAAGTCCTGGACTAGTCAGCCTCCCCCAAGCCACACTCCCGCTCCACCCACCAGCCACTGCGTACCTGCTTCTCGCGGTGGTAGAGGGAGGCCAGCGTGTAGGGCAGGATCTGCAGGGCCGAGAAGGTGAACCCGGTGAGGGCAGCTGAGGCTGTCACCACGGCCACACTATGAGATAGGCACGTGGCGCCGGCAGCCACGGGGAAAGCCAACACACTAGCCAGATAGACTGCCCGGGTGCCGAATCGCTGCACCAGCCGGTCCATGACCAGAGAGAAGACCAGGGAGATGGCACACTGCAGGAACAGCCCCAGGCTGCCCATCCGAACGCCTGGAGGGGGAAGGAGGCGTCAGACGATAGGGAGAGGCACAAAACTGTCTGGGGGGAGCTCAGAAGTGAGGGCCACAGGCGCCTGCTGCACAAGACCTGCTGCGGACCATGCCTGCTCCCCAGCGCCCTCTCCACCCGACCTGCAGCACAGGAGTCTCGGCTCTTCCACTGACCCTCCGAGCGCACAGCCACAGCCCGCAGCTAAGGGCAGGGGAACGTGTTCTAAGGGTTTACTGGGAGCCTCAGCTTTGGGGACAGGAGGGCGAGAGGGAATAGATAGTTCTGCATAGGCTTCAAGACACTTCCAGAATGCCTGAGCTGGAAGGCGCTGGTGAGATTTAGAAAGTCATCAGGGGAGCAGAGGGCACACTGAAGCTGGAGCCAGAAAGATCTGAAAGCCAGCCTTGGCTCCTCCACTCCCTCTGGACCCTGAATAAGCTCAGCCTTTCCTTCTGTCAGACTGGGGCAGTGACTCCGATTAAACTCGCAGAGCAGCCAGAGGCCCCACTGGAACAGCAGGCAGAGCCGCGCGGGCAGGCCGCGTCCATCTTCCCTTCCTGATGGGGAAGTCGGGGCCGGGATACGGCCACCGCCCGGGCACAGGCTGTGTGCCTCTCCCTAGCCTGGGAGGAGGGCAGCTCCCGCAACAGCCTCCACGGCTGCAGGGGCCTTACCTTCGTCATAGTGTCTCCGGGCCTCGGTGCCTGGCTCAGCCCTGGGCACACCCCGGTACAGCCCCTCACCCACGAAATCTGTGTAAAACAGCGTGAAGGTCATGAGCGCCATCCAGCTGCACAGCTCAGCCACGAAGAGCCGGCGGAGGGTTCGAGGCATGCGGCAGCAGAGCTGGTGCAGCCGGGGCAGCAGGGCGCCCAGGTTCCAGAAGGCCAGGCGGGCCCGGCACGGGCAGCAGTGGGGCTGCACAGAGGGGACCGACAGCCCTTCCGCCGGCTCAGCCGGACCCAGTGCCGCCTCCTCAGTCACTAGCAGTGTGGCTGCCACACAGGTGAGGAAGATGAGAGTGAGCAGGCCAAAGAGGCACTCCTCCTGGGTGCCCAGGTAGGGGGCCAGGGCACTGGTGTCCCAGTCAATGGCGGGCAGGAGGTAACCCAGGCAGCCCCCGAGGCTGATCATGAAGGCGTAGACGGAGTAGGCTTGGCGACAGTGGTCCGGGTCCCGGAAGAGGTCGGACAGCAGGGCCTCCAGTGGAGTGAAGCACACCTGGCCACAGAAGTCCAGCAGCCCCACGCCCAGGATCAGCAGTGCCAACTCCAGGGGCCGGGGATCCGGGCACAGCAGCCCTGCCAGCCAGCCGGCCCTCGGGATGAGAAAGAGGCTCAGCAGGATGCCCAGGGACAGGGCCCAGATGAAGGGCCGCCGGCGGCCATAGCGCCCACGCCAGTGGTCACTGGCTGAGCCTAGGAGTGGGACGGAGACCAGGCCCAGCACGGGACCGATGCCTGCAAGAGGGCAAGTAGTATGAGTCAATGGCTGGGCCAGGTAAGGGGCAAGGGGCGGGAGCCAAGCTGCTTGAGAAGGATGGGGATGATACCGCACTGAGGGCAAACTCCCTAAGACACTGTGCTAAGACTTCCTAGTGAGTCATGGAATTTATTCCTTATGACATAGGTATTACAAACAGCCCTATTTTCAGATTGGGGAAACTGAGGCATGGAGCCACTGATGCACGATACCTATGCAAAGGCACAGAGCTACACAGGGTAAGAGGCAGAGTTTCAACAGGAGTCTGACTCCAGAGCCTGCAATCCTACGGGGCCCCCTCCTTCCTGGGGTGGGGGTGTCACACAATGGTAACTATCTGCCTTCTGTGGCTTTTGCAGAATTCATCTGCAGAGGCAGGAGCCCGCCCCCTGTCCTAGGGGTCAAAGCTAGCGCTGGCTGGGTGGGAGACACTGATCGAGTCCCAGCTCTACCCGTCAGCAGCTGTACAGCCTTGGCTGAGGCTCACCTTACCTCTTATAAGCCTCTGTTTTCTTCTCTGTGAAAGGGATCGCCTCAAAGTGTGGTTGTAAGGATTAAATCAGGTAATAGACGTTAATTACAAAAGGGCTAGGAGTAGACAAAGGCTAGGAGCGACTTCTCCAGTGTCTCCTATGAGCCAGGCATCAGGCAGGGACAGGGATACAGAGGTGACTAGAGTATGTCCCTGTACTGTCTTCTTTCTCTTGGGGCACCCCCCAGCCCAGGGTCGGCCTTCCGCCCAGCAATGCCTCCCCGCCAAGCGCATGAACAGCAGGCAACCAGCTCTCCCTCCAGGCAGCTCCCTGGGCAGAGGTACTCCTGCCCTGCATCCCAGGCGGCACATATCTGGCACAGGAAGGAAGGAGGACGTAGTGACTCACCCAGCACCATGGTCATGAACTTCTCTTCCACCCCCACTTCCAGCAGCAGGGGTGGCACGTAGGTGATGCCTGCAGCCAGGCACACCTCCAGGCCGAAGGTCAGCAGGTTGACCAGCAGGAGCTGGGCTTTCCGATGCCGCAGCAGGCGGCTCACCCACAGCCTCTGGATCATCATGGGCCGCAGGCAGGGCTCGGGCTGTTCACACACTCCAGAGCTGCTCCGTCTCAGCTCTGCTCCAGGAGCCCAGGCCTCCCCTCCTCGCTGCCACCGACTGCCTAGGATTCAGCCCGGCGCCCATCTCTGCCAGGCCTCGGGTGCAGGTCCAGCTTCTCAGCCCACGCTAAACACCTGTTGCCGTGGGGCACCTCGGTGGGGACACATCTCATTGCTCAGATCCTAAAGGGTGGGAACAATCACAAGCACACAGAGTGTCAAGTCCTGGGAGCCAGGTCTCCAGGATTTGCTCTAATTCGTCTGAATCCTGTTCATTCACAGGCCAGTGATTGGCCCTGCCACCTAGGTGCCACCCCCTGCTGCCCAGCCAGGAAATGCATGTTAATATTAGCCTAAGGCTGACATAATTAATAAGGTAAATATGATTTTTAAACCTCAGCACACTCTAAAGCCAAACAGATGCTGGTGATTCTGTGCTTGGCAACATTTGCAACTGCCCTTGCCTGCTAGGATGGGGGTCGGGAGAGAACCAAACAGGCTGAATTTCTGGTTGCCCGGGCCTGGCTATCAAGGTGTCCCAGGAGACCCTCTGCCAGGCCTGGTTTGTTTGCTTTTCTCCCTCCGCTTCCCAAAGCTGAGCTGTTCAATTCCCCTTTGTTAAGAGTCCCACTTCCTATTCCGCGCTGCCTGGCTACGAGCCATGCCGTACCATAGCCCCCACCCCCAAGGACAGGGATGAGAGGAAGGGAGGAGAGGCTGTGGTTTGCTGGGCTGGGTTTTAACCTGTCATTGAAACCACTTAGAGAGAGCTCCCCTGGATGAACCTAGGCCTGAAAACCTCTGAGTTTTTCCCCCAAGTTCAGTGTTCACGGGGAAGAAAGTCCGCAGGTGACTGTCCAACTGTCACAGGACAGTGGAGCTGTTCTCAGCAGAGAAGTCCCAGCCTCACAGGGGCATGAAGCCACATCACCTGCCAGAAGCTATGATGACGCCAGTGGCCCCCCGGGCTGGCAGGGCGCCCCACCACTTACTTCCTGGGTAGCCTTTCTCTGCTCCCTAAATGGATCTGTTCTCAGCAGAGAGGTTCCCACACCCCTTCCTGTCAGCCCGGCTTCCCGTGCAGAGAGCGCCACCGCGCTCTAGTCCCACGGGGTGAGTGCCCACCCGGCACCCCCCAGCTCTGCGAGCAGGTGGCCTCCAGGTCCTGCCTCCCGACAACGTACCCACTGCAGCCTGCTTTGCTTAGAAGTGACTACCAAAGAGGGAAAGTAGAGTCAGTCACCAAAAGGAGGTACAACCAGAGGCTGAGCCTTGGTGAGGTTAAGTAGGCAAGAGCCCCCTAACCTGTCGTCCGTCCCAAGGCAGAGGCAGGGGACAGAACTTGCCAGCACTACTGCTTGGAGTGCCTTCCCTCTCCTCCCCAATTCCATCCCATAAATGCTTTTGAAGGGCTGCTACTCCGGTGCAAGGACCACAGTGGCTGAGGACCTGTCTCCAATCTGAGAGCACCCGAAGCCCCCACTTACCCCCCACCACTCACAGCACCTCATAATAAAAGGCGCTTCCATTTCTTTTATCTTTTCAAATAACATAAGCCCCAAGGGGCCTTGCATGTGACAAAGAATGCTGCAGCGCTCTCTGAGCTGTGGCTGAGAAATCAGATGGCCGCCAGTCCTGAGTAAGGGCTGTCCACCCCATAACGGCCTTCTGGGCCTTCGCAGCTAGAAGATCAGGAAGGAAGGGACTCGAGATAAGGCTGGGCAACCGGCAGCCTCTTCCCCGAAGTCCTGCACAGCCCCACACTTTGAGACGGGTGTGGGACCTCCTATGGGGCGGCCTGAGCAGAAGTGTGAAACACTGACCCACACGGTCCCAAAAGGGAGGCAGGGGGACCTGTCTTAGCTGAGCTGTTGGGGGTTCACCTTGAGCCCCTCCCCATCATTACATTTCCATGGCACCCACGGGAAAGCAGGGGACTGCACGGAGACCAAGGGGTGGTGCCATCCAGCTGGAGGGAGGGGTTCTGGGTCAAAAGGCTTCCAGCCCATTCCGCCCCCCGCCTTTGGTCTGGGAGGGCCCTGGACACTCACCTGCTCTGGGTATAAGGGACCAGGTCCTCCCTGAGCAAACAGACTCTGTCGGACCCAGCCTCACCCATAACCTGCCCCCTTCTCCAAGCCCTGGCTGCTCCCTGTTGTTTAAAATACACTGCTGCTCTCTAGCAACCATTAATCACCCCATCTGCCTTCCCTTTCCCTGAATCTAGTTCCCCAGTCCTCCCAGAAATGAACAGGATCCTTCTTAGCCCACAAGGGAAAAAGACAAAAAAAGGGGGGGAGGAGATGCTGGTGAAAAAAGGAATCACCCTCCCCCAGATAGCTCACTAGCTGCCTCCCCCTCCCTGCGGTGCCTCTCTCCACCACAGAGGTTCTTTACCTGGTAACTAGGGTCTGGGCTAGGTGAGGAATTCACTGAAAGGAGTTGGGTAGGAATCGAGCAGGTTCCAAGCCCGGCCAGGCATCCTCTGTTCTTAGGTTGAGCAGCCCTCTCCTCCCTCTTTTGATTTCTACTCTGCCCTGGGGGTTCAGGGCACACCTGTCACCCCAAACTTTACTCTTCCCAGCCCAGAATTGCTAGAGCAATCCCAAGCCCGTAAGAACACCCCCACAAAGGCCCCCTCTCTCATCCTTGCACCCTTCCTAGTGCCCCAGTCCCCCCACTCCAGGGTGCTTAGGGTGAGGGGACTACAGAGGACCCCAAGCACTAACTCCAGCCACAGGCCATCCCCTCTAGGGCCTTGTTCCCTGGCACACTAACAGAGAAGCCCAGGCCCAGGGAGGCCAGAGAACTCAAGTCCCTCAGTGCCGCTTTCCTGGCCGCCACTGCTGTCAGCGGCCCCAGGGCACACTTCTCAGGGATGCCTGAAAGTGACAGATCAGCGCTGGGCTCCGTCTGGGGAAACTCCCCTGCCTTCCTGGAACAGAGATATGGGCAAGGGGACAGGGTCTAATTCTCCCCTATACCCTCTTATCTAGTCTTGCAGATGCTTCCGACTCAACTCCTCCTGCCCCACTGCTCCTGGAGCACTGTCTGTCTGACAAACAGAAGGTCATCCTGAGAGTGCTCACCTGCTGAGGAGCGGGCGGGAAACGGAGGGGCCGACCTCTCAGAATGGAAAGGAACGGGCAGCCTTCTGGGACAAGTCCCGCTCAGTTCCAAACATCTCCCCTCCTCTCTGCTGCCGTTGTTGCCTACGGCAGGACAGTAAGAAAGCTGGAGGAAACCCAAGACCTCTGGGAACCTTCTCGGAGCTCCGCCCCAGGCCATCCTTCCTCATCCCTGGGGGAACAAACCCGAAACCCAGAGCAACCAAGGGCCCCAGGCAAGGTCAGTGCACCTGGATTCTCTCTGCCCAGCTCCAGGTACCGGGAGACCTACGAGCCCCATGCACCCCAACACGTGGCACCCCCCCAGGGCAGGCCATGGGCTCCATCACACCCTCCGGCACCAGCCCCAGCAGGACGAGGGTCCTGGGAAACGTCTACCCAATGAACGAATGGCCGAAAGCAGGGGGTGGGCATATAGAGAAGGTAAAGACTTAAGTCCTCCTCCCACCACTTGCTCCCCATACACCAAGGAAATTCCAAGCCCAACCGCAGAAGTGGCAACTCCTAAGGGCTCAGAGGTGGTGAGGGGCTCCGATCGCCCCTCCTGGACTGGAATGCCCCCACTGCGGACTGCACGCCGCGCGGGGAGTACGGGAAACGAAACTGAGCAACGGAACAAACTTGGCCTGAACTTTGTCCAAAATTCAAAAGACAGAGTGGAGGAGGTGGAGGAAAGGCGACCCGAGCCCACTCCCCGGTAGCTCCCTGAGGGAAGGGAGGGTCAGAGGGGGACGTATAAAGAGGCCTTTGAGGGCTTTCAAAGGGGCTCCTGCCACCCTGCACGGCTGAGGTGGAGCTGGGGGAACAGACTCCCTCTGCTGACAGAGGCCAGAGGGAGCCGGGCTGGGGGCAGCCCCCGCCCCGGGCCAGTGTCAGGCAGCAATTCTATGGCCTCTTTATGCAGGCCAGCGTCCCCACACCCCACCCAGCACATCAAACGGCCGCAGCCCCCACCCTGACCCCGACAGCTCCGCAGCCCTGCGTCCTCCCTGCACACTCACAAAGACCCTCTGCTTTCTCACACGCTCCTGCCCCTGGGGAAGCGGGAAGCAGCCCCTCTACCCCTCACAGCTGCCCGGAGCCCTCCCCACAGAGGGGAAACCCGGCCTGCGGGAGGCTAGCCGAGAGGAGTAATGACTCAGCTAAGAAAGGGGGTAGGGTCACCCCAGGCCAACCTCCCCCCTGCACACCCCGCCAGGCTGTGCTGTCTCAGGCCAGGACTGCGGACTAGGAGGGACCCCAGCCCCAGCGCACTGCTCCAAGCGGAGCTCTCCAGGGTCCTCCAGGTTGGGGGAAGCGGAGAGTCTCAGGTCTGGGGGTTCACCAGCCCGGCATCCCCACTGCACGTCCCCGCCCCTTGCCCCAGTCCCAGGGCCTTACCTAATGACACCTGGCACAATGTACTCCCAAAATGAGCTCCGTTCTCTGGGCAGCTCCATAAGGAGCCTTGGGGACACCCCCAGAAAGAGCCTGCACCTGAGAGGCCTGAAGATGCGCATCACAGATCCCCTTTGTTAGGGGCGCTGTGAGGATTCCTGCCTGGGCTGCCGGGGAGGGGGACACGGCATTAGACTACACGCGGTTCCGGTGCCTCCCGACCCATTCGGTCCTTCATTCTCTGGGCTCACGTTATTCCCAAAGCAGTGAGGGTCTCTGCTTTCCCCAGTCCCACCCCAGAAAAACACAACAGTGCTTTGCACAAATAGCCGAGGCTACCTGAGGACACTGCAGCCCCGGCAGGGCCACGGAGGGACTCCTAAGAAAGAATAAGAGCAGTGGGAAGGGGGCCCCGCCCCGCCCAGACTGGCTCCCTAGCTCCTGCCTCCCCCA